CTACATCAAAATCAATTCGATTCTACTGAAATTTTATAAAATTCCTATTTATTTGTTCAACATATGAATGTAGACTAAAAAGAAAAGAAAGACATTATTTATTTCACTCAACTCTGCAACATGCATTAAAGTTAGATATATTCTGCTATTATAATATTTTAAAGTACTTTTGCAAAAAAAAGGCCCCTTTTCAAGCACTTTTAAGCTCTTAAAATTGTATTCTCAATTTCAATGATCCATATGTACCCTGGGGATGATCTATGTATAGCTGTATCATCCCTTTGTTCTTCTTTGCATTCTTTTTGGGACTGCCATCCTTACATTATTTCACATTTACAAAATGTTTTTGTTGCATTTTTCCACCTTACTAAAAGAATGTATTCTGTGAAGGTGTGCGGTAAAACTTAATATGTATGGTTTTTTTCACTCCTTCACTTCATACATAATATAGGCATTGGCTTCCTAAAGACACTGATTGTATAGTGTACAGAGCATTGAGTATTCTACATGTAACAATCATCTAATGTTCATCTATTATTGACTGGTAATTCCTGTTTCACCCTGTACTTCAGCTTTTAAAAAAACACCAGATTTCTCTAGAAACTAACTTCAAGGTGTAATTATAACAGCACTTACACTAGAATTCTGATTATTTTTTTTAATTACTAGTAGTTATTAGAACTAAGCGATGACATCATGTACTACCCAGAAACACATAGAGTAGATTTAGGCTTACACTGACATTACTGATAAAGTAGTTGTAGAGTTATCTCTACTGAAACAAGAAGAAGAAAGATGAACAATTTGGTGGGTTTGTCACCTTCTGGTTTGATATCTTAGTGATGGTTTCTTGCTTTGTCTTTGGGTTTTTTGGGTAGAGAAACAAATGAAAGTGACTGGCAATCATCTTTTAAAGTAAAATTCTGTCAAAGTTTGTAGAAATTAATAAGATATAATGAAAGAGGAATCTGAAAGTATGTTTTCTCGGAATTAGATCAAAGACATTTAGTAACTACAAATAACCTCATTTTCTCTCCTACACTTAGGATACTAAGGTTTGTAAAAAAATAGGCTACATTAAGTTTGTTAAAGCTCAAGGTTTGCTCAAAATACGTATCAGTTTTTATTTATTAGAGAAAATATATTCTAACATGTATACCAACAGTAAAAAGATTGAAACCAATTTGTTCTATCTAATACAGATAACCTCTTGTCTATGTACTAATCGTATAGTTTGTGTTTTATCAGTTAAGTGTGGGAGCCCAGAATGTACAGTTTGTTTTAAAACAGGGGTCTTAATATTTGGAAATACTGAATAAAACTGTCGCCACTCTTGTTTCGGCTCCTGTGTAAGGCCCCTAAATATTATTTTTCTTTACAGTGTCCTGCTGACCCAGGGTCGTGTTCCCTGTTGTTTGTGATTCAAAACGAGCGTCAGTAATACCACTTCCCTCTTTCTCTGACAGAAATTTTGTGTGTAATTATTGGAGTACATCGTAGCATTTAGACTATTGTACTTTAAAACATCAAGTTACTGTAATGCTCCTGGTGTGTATAGTAATGGTGAAGCTATAGTTTCATTCCTTTACTGAAATATCCCAAGTTCTTTTACAAAGATTGTAGAAATTACTATGGGACTCTTTTTACATGGGGTAAAATATGACATCTTTTTCGGAAATCAATTTGGCAATAATTTTCAGTTATTTTCGTATATTTAGCGCCTGAAGAGGACCTACTTCACAAGAATTGCCTAATAAGGAAACGTATTTTAATGGTATTGAAAATATATCCAGATGACTGGATAGCACACCATCTTTCTTATAAGACCACAGCAATAGCTCTTCGTTTAGTTATGAAGTAATTTTTTTTTTAAAAGTTGTCTAATTTTCTTCCTTGAAAAAAAAATGTAAATATGAGTTATGTGTTGAACTGATATTTAATTTACTCTATTTGTTAAAAACATTTTTTCTTATTTTAGTTTGATATTTTTACTTAAGACTTAATATTATTGAAATTAATATTATTAATATTAATGTAATCACTGGCAGACGATATGTAATATTTGGTGAACTCTCTACAAGGTTTTGGGCCGGGAGTGGCTTCTTTCTTAGCGTGCTGGACTGTGAATATAAGGGATCATTGTTCACGTCCCGTTGCCGCATAAGCTTGCTCCGAATTTGATGCCGTTGATACATTGTAAGATTGACAATCAAATACCAGTTTTGGGCTAAAGACGTCAAGGTTTGGCATTGGGGGCATGTTGATCTGCTGCTTTCCTTCTAAGTGTATCAGTCTAAAATTAGGGACGGCTAGGCTTGAACATATAGTCCACGTGTAGCTTTGCGCAAATAATCCAAACAAGTTAACTCATCAGGGTTCTCAATGAAAAGTTCCGGAACGTGTAAATCTTCCATGATAGTGTTTTCATCTCTGATTAATCGCTTCTCACATCTAATTTATACGCTCAAATGGTGTGACTTAGTTTTTATCAGCTTTCTCCGTATAACACCTTTTATTTTCTTATTGATCGTCAAAGAGATTTGACGAATGGTGTGCATCGAATATTACACCAGGGTTTCATTTATGTAGAAAAAATATGGCTTTCTCGCTGTTCACCATTTCTCATAGTTCTTAAACATGCTTACTAAACAAATCGTTCAACATTAATGAAAATTTGGAATGGCAGTAAGATAGCCTCACTATAGTAAGTTTACGTGGCTCACATCGTGCATGTTTTTCCACAGTAGATGTTGCAGTGTTTGTTACCTCAACTTTCGTGATTTTGTGAAGTGCGGATGACGTAAGAGTGGTCTTCATGATGTAGACTATACATTTCATAAAATAAACTAAATCAGTCAAGCATCAAACGTTCCGCAGCTCATTTGTTCCATTTATTTCTGAAAATGTATTAGTAACATATATTGAATCACACAAGGCTATAATTTCGTCGGTTGCCTAAGATGACTATTACGGATTATCAAAAGTGTAGAACGCTGCAGTGAATTCTTTACAAATGTGTCATTCTCATTTCAAAGATAGTAATGAAAAATTCCGTAGATATAAAAACTGTGCGTGAACAAATAATTCGTTTAGTTTAACCCAAGCCATATCGTAACCTGATTTATTGAGTCAATAGTGTTCTGGTCAAGAATTGTGCAGTGCAACGTCAGTTTTGTATGCCATAAGTATATTAAAACATTCTATATCTAAAAGGAACGTTAACCCTCAAATTACAGATTTATTTTCTACCGTTCGCTATCGGCCATGCCCACATGTTGTATCATGTTGAGTAATTTTGCGTTTTTACATGATACAACAGAAACTGTAAATAACTAATAAAAAGTGAAATTCTTCTTTTTTTTGGTAAAATAAATAGTTGATCAAACAGTAATTAGTTGGACTAATTGCAATATTGCTATTATTCATGTTTAAATTTTCCTCTACCTTGTGTTTTCAAGGGCCATGTAACTAACAGAGTCACAAACCCACTAGCAATTTGTTGCATAAGTAGCTTAAAAAACAAAGTCAAGGGGGGATTGGTAATTATAGGGTTAAGCGTTTAACATTCCGAAACTCAAGTTTTGAAAAAGCAATCATTAAAATTATCCAATAGTAAATAAGTAAACTTGACTAGTTGCCATACTCAGTTCAAAATTAAGGACAGCTATGCACTAAAAGTCCTTTGGGTAGCTTTGCACAAAATTTCAGAAACAAGATTTTTTTAGAGTCGCGTGAAATAGTCCAAACTGCCAAATAAAT